GGTTATGTGAACGTTGATGTTAATAATTAGAAATTATCACTATAAAAACACGTAAGGGCTCTTTAACTTTTTAACATTTCCAAGTTATCATTCAAATATTTCCATTAATTGTATTTAATAAAGGAATAACAGAAAAGTCATTCATCGATTTTTGTGAATTTATTAATAACATAATTATAGACAATAATGTCCCGAGACACGCGAAACAAATATCTCGATAAAAGTAATAATTGCAATTTTATTTCTTACGCAACTTATAAATCCTATTTTAAATCGTGTTAAATAGTTTTTAACGTTAAAAACCATTAATGTTTTCAACGAGTGAAAGATTTTTTTATACGCATTGGACAATTCGTGGGGGGAAATATTGAAGAAAAGTCCGAGCAGAATATTATTAATCTTGTCACTTAACTTCGTATCCTCGTCACATTCAAATATAATTACGCCGCAGAAACTATTAATCACTTAATAAATCAATTAAGAATCATCATCCTTAATCGGATTAGAAGAAATTAAGTCGTTTAAGAGGTTTAACTCTTCCTACTAAAGGAAATTTGAATAAACGTCACGGTATACGTGGAAATATTGTCGCGAGTTGTCAGTTATCCCATCGGAAACAATTAACGTAGTCTTTAGACAGGGATTGTCATCTCCGTTTACCTGTGTATAATTTCATGAAACCGTTAAAGGAACAAGTATGAGATTACCGGTAACTCGAATCCAATATCGGAAAATGCTCTTCGATTGACATTTTCGCCCGCGACGCTAAGCGGAACACGGCGCCATTTGTGGGAATAACCCGATGGACTCGGATTCGTTTGTTTTATATTATTGGGTTGCAATTTGAAAAAAATTATAGACTATACATTCCCACTGTCGTCCGTCTGTCTTTCCTTAATGTCGAGAACGATGTTACATAAATGAAATTACAGATACGACAAGCTTAAGGGCGAGAGGCCCGGATTAACTAGATACGAACTTGTGACGCAAACCGGAAGTCACCTTAATTTCGATTCGAAGACTTTCCCCCGAGATAGACGGCTTCGTCGCTAACGGAAAAGTATGACGTACTCTACGGGGAAAAAGACACTACTAATTCGAGGCGGATAGCGTATATTTTAAATGAAATAAATTAAAAATATGATTAAAAGTTGCGGCCCGGCATCGCGACCGCGTCGCGATAAATAATTGCTAGTTTTTTTATACTTTATTATCGTCGCATCTGATAGAGTATAAGAGTAACAAATCTCGAAGCTTTTACGGTACGAATGCGGATGCGGACTTTTTCTTTTATCGAAATATTCGATTATTGTAAGCCTCGTAAACTTTTAAACATTAAAGATAGGGTAATAACTACATTAAAATCCGACGTTGAATATTAAATAGCGATTACGCTCTTAAGAGATGGTTATTTTTTTATTTTCTCTTTGCCAACGTTGGAAAGAGGTCCTTATCGGTTACTTAAATTGCGCAGTTTAATATTTAAAGGCTGACTAATTCTTAACGATTCCGAAGAAGCAGTTTTACGGTCGTTCTCGGCCGCATTTATTTAAAAATTTGACCGCCAATATTCATAGATTTTTTTTCCGGTCACGTAAATTCTGAAATATTTATAATGTTTTTATTAGAAATCTGGTACGATTACACGCCAGTCGCGTTTCCACTATCTAATCTCGTACGCGGCCATTAATGTAAATATTACGGGAATATTATAATTATCGATTAGCCAAATCTTTAATTTAGCTGGCATCCAGTTCGCTATCGAATCCGTCGATTGTATTGCGTTTGCCAAGCGTGAACTTCCTCGAAAATTAATCGTTATCCCGATAAAATCTGGGTCTTTCCGATACTTTACCGTTATACACACACATACGCGAGAAAGAAAGAAAGAAAAAAAAAATAACAAGAGTATTTTATCATTGTTGTTATTGTTATTAACCTGTGGGGAGGGTCGACGAACAAGGTCGAATCTTCCGTCTGGAAATGGAGGTATTGATTTCTCTAGTTGGCATATTTGTTTAACGTCTTTACGCAAGTTTGCTTTTGTAGGCCACGGGTAGACGATTTCGATTTTTCCATTTTAATTCTCGGCATTATATACAAAAGAGAAACGCGAAGAAATTAACGTTTAACAAATATATCGGTGCAAAAACAAACGTAAAGTGCCCTGGCAGAATCAATATTGGTATTTCGTAAGTCNCATTGCTAATAAATTACAGCAACTTTAGGTTATAATTGAATGTATATTTTTATTAAATATTAATAATGTATATGAAGAAAACGAAAATAATTAATTTTTGTTTTCTTCATTAGCAAAAAATATACTGTATTAATAATGTAAAATCTTTTTTCTTTTCTTAACAAATTATAATAGAATGAAAATATATCTATATTTAAGAATATTAACACCTTCATTATTTTAAGAATAAAAATATTAATATTTCTGTGTGCTTTTCTTTGTTTGTAACTAAATAAAATAAAATGTTTATAATTTATTTACTTATAACATTTATTAGCTTTATTTACCCTTTCAAATTTAATTCACATTTTAAATTTATAAACATAATTTTTATTATAATTAATTCAATACATTTATTATTTAATTTAAATTATAATACGATAAATAATTTTTCATATACAGACATATTTAATGTAAATCTTCAAACTTACAAATTCTTTAATTTGTAATGTATTTTGTCACTTTCTTCCCTTCAGATTTCTTTCACGTTCAACTATTCGAAATATTCCGAATATTTCTTCCTATGTGTCTAAAGAAGTTCAGTGAATATTCGTTTTCTACTTATATCAAAGTTTCGAAGAGAACGCGAGTAAACTGATGTAAACTCTATCTAAATCAGTGTGGAAGATATATATGAATTTTTCAGGAAAGATATACACCGTATTTTGTTTTATGTTAAACTGATATATGCAAATTCATGTTTTCCTGGCAGACAAATGGTCAGGTTAACCAACTTTTAATTCCACTGTGCTTTTTCAACTTCTGCCGAAAAATTACTATGATCAATAACGTGGTTTTAATGTATTTTTCTAATGTAGAATACAAAACATGGTGTATAAAAGTTTTTGGTATATTTAGAAACATTAAAGTGTTATTATAAAATCACGCAACATATTTTTGTTAATGATTGCATAACTTCCTAAGCAATCATTTGAGGCTCCTTGGAGCATAAATTTACGCGGAATTTTGTTTTTTCCGGTATTTGTTGATAAGTAATCCCGCGTTAAAAGTATCGTTAATTGAAGAAAGACATGTTAATTAAATGCAATTTTTCAATTAACAAAAATATTTTTCCAAAAATCGTATTGAATGAGAGGTGAATTAAGATTTTCTTGAACGTTTTCAAGTTCTTCGCTTGAATTTATTGATTAAGTCTTTTTCTTGATTGTAAAATAAAGTATTGCCTAATGTTCTCTTAAATATTGATATATTTTATTATGTTATACTTAATTGTAAACATGAAATTTTTTAAAGATACTTCAATAATTTTAATGTAGAAATTAATTCTGTATTAAATAATGACATTTCATAACTCATAGAATTAAATATTTATTATTAATTTATTAATAAAAGGTAATTGTATAAACTTGGTTATTAATGATAAATTAACTCCTTCGGGATAATGGATTTTTTCATATTAATGAATTATTTAAACATCAGATAAATTAACTGTTTAAATATTAAATAAGAAAAACTTACACTAAACAATTCCTTTATGCGAATTCAAAGTAATAATATATTAATATATAAAAATACAATTACCTTTGTAGATACTAATTGCGAATAATAAGTAGTTAATTATTTTCAATAAATTAAATATTTTTGATGACGTTCATAACTTTATTTAGCATTAATTTAGTATGAAAAATTCAAACTTTATTTAATTATGTAATATATTTTCAAATGAATCATTATCATTATGTAATATATTTTCAAACCAATCATTATGTAAACAAAATTAACAGTTATTAGAAGTTTTCAATTATTTCTAAATACTTCTTCGTATAAATGTAATATAAATACGAGTAATTATTTATTGTGACATCGTCACAATGCCAGGCTGCAATTTTTAATCGTGTATTTAATTTATTTAATTTAAATTATAATACGATAAATAATTTTTCATATACAGACATATTTAATGTAAATCTTCAAACTTACAAATTCTTTAATTTGTAATGTATTTTGTCACTTTCTTCCCTTCAGATTTCTTTCACGTTCAACTATTCGAAATATTCCGAATATTTCTTCCTATGTGTCTAAAGAAGTTCAGTGAATATTCGTTTTCTACTTATATCAAAGTTTCGAAGAGAACGCGAGTAAACTGATGTAAACTCTATCTAAATCAGTGTGGAAGATATATATGAATTTTTCAGGAAAGATATACACCGTATTTTGTTTTATGTTAAACTGATATATGCAAATTCATGTTTTCCTGGCAGACAAATGGTCAGGTTAACCAACTTTTAATTCCACTGTGCTTTTTCAACTTCTGCCGAAAAATTACTATGATCAATAACGTGGTTTTAATGTATTTTTCTAATGTAGAATACAAAACATGGTGTATAAAAGTTTTTGGTATATTTAGAAACATTAAAGTGTTATTATAAAATCACGCAACATATTTTTGTTAATGATTGCATAACTTCCTAAGCAATCATTTGAGGCTCCTTGGAGCATAAATTTACGCGGAATTTTGTTTTTTCCGGTATTTGTTGATAAGTAATCCCGCGTTAAAAGTATCGTTAATTGAAGAAAGACATGTTAATTAAATGCAATTTTTCAATTAACAAAAATATTTTTCCAAAAATCGTATTGAATGAGAGGTGAATTAAGATTTTCTTGAACGTTTTCAAGTTCTTCGCTTGAATTTATTGATTAAGTCTTTTTCTTGATTGTAAAATAAAGTATTGCCTAATGTTCTCTTAAATATTGATATATTTTATTTCGAGAGATTTTAGCGAAAGGTAAAAATTGTTTTCCCCGAAAGGTGTCTCGCACCCAGTTTATTAAGAACACCGGACTAAATTAAGAAAAACTTAATTTCCTAACGTTATTGCCAGTTTAATTACTTCAATATGTAACGAAATCGTCAATTCTATATAGCGACACGTCAGAAATACTTTATTTTCCGTTTGTATCAGGATGTTATGCCCAAAATATTTATATTAATTTAATAAACAAAGAGCAACGAATTGCTGTATTCTTATTCGCGAATTTTCGAACCTTCTAGTAAAAAATAAAAAAAAAGTAAGGCAACGTAGGCATTTTGTGGCAACTCATTGTTTACGTAAGGTGGACGTGGCGGCAGGAAAGTCGTAAAATCGTTGGATTAATTGAACTTGGCGGAATATTATAAGCGGGGTTTGTTACATTCTGGTTATTTTATTTTCTGTTCGGGTAGTAAAACGATATCGTTCGATGAAGCGAGTTTTGGTTTTGATCGTTCGAAGGTCGGGCGAAACGACCTTTGGAACCGACTCGTTAATATCATACTTTTCTTCTATCGTATTTTGAAAGCGATAAAATCTTTTCCGTAGATCCAAGAGCTATTAATACAATGTTGTTATTGTTATCTTCGGAACAAACTCGAGTTTAACAATAAGAAAAAGATTTTTCAAGTTCATCCCGATATAAAAAGAATTGTTCTCTCGTAATTGTGTCGTTTTACAGGAAACGGATGGCCGTTTTCCTCACCGAGCCGTTTGTAGACGTGCCACATTCTCGTATGCGATAATAAATCCGAATCGATGTCTAAGTGGCAAAATTCTTTGCCTTTTTATCTATAGGTTGGGCGTAAACTTCTGGTTACGGATAATTCTCCACGCGAATTTCTAGTTATAGTTACGTACGAAAGTAATTCCGAAAAATCTGGCAGGTAATACGCGTCAGAATTACTTACGATAAGCGTGGAAAATTCTAAATATACGATAAAGATTAAACGATATTATAATTGGGGAAATTTGGCAATAATTATCTCCGTCCTATTCATCACACGTATAGACTTCTATAAAGTTTATATATGCGCGTTAAGTGTTTACGCCTATTTCGTACGCATATACGACGTTTCGAGTGTTTATATTTACATGTAACACACGTCACGAGATGTATTTTTTTGCGTCATTTCGTAAAAATTACGATAAACATAATGTGATAGGGCATTATAGATTCGGACGATTTTACCTCTACTGACCGGCCTTTACTGCCTCTACTGCCTTTGACTAACGTGCGACACGAATTGCGTGGGATCCACCAGTCTATTTAACGACATGAATTATCTTTTTAATTTTATATTGTTTTACGGCACTGTAAATTTATTTTTGATAAGGTTTAAACGTCGAAATTATCAAAAAATATAGAGATTCGTTGCTCGATATCCGAAGCAACCGTCTTCAGGAGTAAGTTCTTTATTCGGTTAATATTCTAATATGAAAAATGCTAAAATATTGCTAAATTTCCTATTTTATATTCTTTATTTAGTATGTAGGTAGTTTAGCGATATTGTCTATTATACCAGTAATATTTTTACTTTAAGTGAGCTTTACGAAGTACTCGTATTTCTAAGGGATTCTACGTGCCCATTGCACGTAGAATCCGCGAGTAATTTCGTACTCTGGTGCAAAAAATTTCCCGGGAGGGACGACAAAGCTGGCGGACAAATAATTACACGGATAGATTTTTATTTACTTTATTAATTTTTGGGTTTCTCGCGAGTAGCTTATAGAATACAGTATTATTGCATCGATACAAAAAGACGAATCGTCCCGCGGTCGGAGGTGTTATATTACACGTCTCATTCACTTTTACCATTATCCCAGGGAGGGCGAGCGCCGCTTTTTCGAAACCCCCTCCGCCAACGCCCGCGTTTTCGGTGGGTTAAGGCCAACGGATTAACCGGCGGGTACTAAGAATAAAAATACACCGTAAATTCCAGTAAACTTAATAGAAAAAAAGGGGAGGGATAAAATAGTCATTCCTTTTTCGGCTCTATTTGTAGAAAACGGAACCGTGCATTACACACGGCGTTAACAGCTAAAACTAGTGGGTGTTCCGATAGATCATCTCAAGGTTCTCGAAGGAGCTAATGTAAATAACAACGATAGTGTACATCTACTGCACTTTAGCTGCCATTCGACCGAGATGAATAGCGGCCTAAGGCCAAAAGAAAATACGACCACCCTTCCTGTTTATAATGTCATCTGTTGCCATCCTATTAATACCAGGTGTTACTCTAACGGTTCCGTTCGATTAGCCTTTCATTTAAGCTCGACTCTTTTTTTCGTCTCTTTTCAGGATCCTGCGGTTTAAGCGCCATGCGTCCCGTGCCGTCCAGTTCGCCCATTTACGTAAGTAACCCTAAATACTTGTGCAAACGTTTAAATTGGCGATGAAATTTTCGTTATCATTTACGGGACGTCGACCTTTCCGTTACTCCGACGGGAAATATCGGATTCGAACGGAAGGGGTCGACTTAGTAAATTCTTTTCTTAACAGCAATTTGGTATTTTCAGGGTGGACTGGAGTTGAGTTTGGAGGTGGACGTTCGAGGCTCGAATTACGATCCGATTCACTCGCAGTTCTATCTAGTGTACACGGGGTCCAAGGTGCGACACGTGACGCCGGCTACGTACACCGCGGCCAAAGACGGCTCGACTCTTCGAGGCATCGTACCGGGTAAGTGCCTCCGATAAGATAAACATTCTCTACGTTTCCGGAACGAATCCGTACTTAACGAGATTACAGCGATTCGTGCGCCTCGGCCAATAGAAGACGTTAGGAAGTTCCGGTTTATTACTATAATACGTTACGCCGGTCGGAGTTTCCTATTGTTCGATACGTATTAACCAAACGACACTTTGCATTAATTTCTCTGGCCGGCGGCTGTTTTTAGACGGACATTTCGTTAAATTAACGTCTGACACGCCAAAATCGGAAGCCATTTCGTCGACAAAAGGCTACGTTTAATGGACGAGATAAACGGAGGCGCAGAAAGTACATTTATAGAAACGATATGGGCCGTTCGTTTCCTACTTTCCTTCCTCGGATTAATTGCCATCCGACCTGGCGTTAAGCTCCGCCCAGTTTTACGGACCGTTGACCGCTTTCGTAATTACTCTCTCTCTCTCTCTCGACCGTTCGTCGTAACGAGAGACTAACCAGTTCTCCGGCCCGTGCACCCTTTTTTTTTCTACATCTTCCTCCTTAGCCCACTCGCCGACACTTTCCTCGTCTTTCCAATAGGTACAGTCGGACGCCATCGAGTTTACGCTCGTCCCTCCACTTTTATTGTTTTCGCTGGCATTGTGGTCGAGTCCCGAATAAAAATACCCTCTCGCTTTTTACGGGGGACGATTTTTTCTGTAAATGCCATTTTGCGTGTCTTTCCTCTTCCTATTGTCCCGCTGCCGTAAACGATCTCGGTCTCAGATATCGGATTGGAGGTCGGTGGCCCATCCAACCTGTTCTGCCGTCTCCTCCAATCGCTATATATAGACCGTTCTTCCCCCTTCGACGTGGACGTTATCGGTTCGTCGCTAATAGAAATGAGTTAAAGTTTACCTCCTTTATCCCTTTAACCTACTTCTCACGTCTTAAGCCGACGTATTTAGGTTATTCTCCCACCCTTCGGCCGACAAATTATAAGTTCCTTTTACTATCGAAGCTCGGCCGTTTACGTTTAAATTTATTAGACGGACGGCCGCGGTGGCCCCGACCGTACCGGTTCCCCCCTCTCTAGTCTTTGGAAAGTAATAGAAATTTATAATTCGTTTGTTGCGCTAATGGGTAAAAGGAACTCGTTTCTTTGTCTCTCGGCAACCACGGCTACTTTCGAATGACTAACTTTTAAATTAGCATACGTGTCGCTTGTGTCTCGATACGACTACCTTCGGTGTCGTAGTTAGTGTATATTTGAACTCTGGAAAAATCATCCGGCACGATTATGTTTTTGTTTCATTAAATGGTCCGAAGGTGGGTTAGACCGTGTCTGTCGCCGTGATTTAATTTGGTGTATGGAAAGTAAGTGCAGCTGCGTTAGTCGCCCGTAGATGTTTCGTAGAAAGCGATTTAATAACTGTTGTCTGTTGTGGCGTGTGTCGTCTTTTCGCCATTCTCTTTACCGTGTTGTGGAATCTCTGCCGTCGTAGTTATTATTTTGTCCCGTACTGTAGCTTATTGTCGCTAGTTCCGACACCGACTAGACGGGGTCGAGGTTGGATGACGTCACTTTCGGTTACGTTTTACTCGATGACGCCGACTCCATTACGTAATTCGGCGAGTTTTAAACGAAAATGGGTTTCGATGATTTTTCAAGTCGTAGTGGTTAAACTACCCACGTCTTTGGTAATACAATCTTCAAAATAATGTTTTCGTATAAAAGTTTTGACTATTTTATTGCCCACCCACTCCGACTTGTTCCGGATTCCACGTTACTCAGTTATTTAAAATATGACAAATCGCTGTTTTCGTGCTGGCGATCTTCGTTCGATATTTTTCGTTAATGGAAAGAAATTATTAAGTAATATTTCACTATGACATCTTTTGTAAATAAAGATATAATATATATATACTTATTATTGTGTAATTAATGCACCTTTACATTGTATGACTAGGCATTGTTGTCTTTGAATTTGTTTAACATTAATATTAACGAAATAATTTATAAATGATCAAAGTTTATTTATAAAAAGTATATTTGTTAGTATTATAAAGCAATTCTAAGCAATAACTTATGTAGAAACTGATTAAACAGTGTTTCAATTAGTTTTTCATTTGTATATATTTGTAATGACATCATGATTTATCGGTTGGAATATGTTCAAAATCTTTACTTCATTTAAATAATTAAAATTTTCAACGACTGATATCACAATTATCTGTAATATTAGATAAAAGTTTGATAATAACGACAATAAAAAATAAAAATATTTAGATTATTTATCTTTAGTAGAGAATTCTTAAAATTTGGAATGAGCTTTGGACCGGTGATAGAATGCAAAACAGAAGCTAAAGATGTCTATATCAATTTCTCCCTGTCAGGCATGCTTATTCTTTCATCCATTATAAGTGTGGTGAATGAAGCACTACGACTGAGGAACTAGGGTCTTTAACCCTGGGTTTCCACCACTATATTTTGCTGCCTGGCCAGTTCCCTTCACAAACTTACAAAAATATTTTTATGCCATATTTTAAAATTAAAAGTATTATTTTGCAACAGTTTATACTATTTAATGCTTTTAAAAATATTTATAAATAATTGTTTTCTGTACATAGTTTTGTTTTATTATCTTTGAATAAAAACATTTAGTTGTTAAAATTTATTTTGAGTTCTCACCATAATTTGATTATTAAAAAATTAAACAGAAATCAAATTTAAGCTTATTCCACTTCTACTTATTGAAATGTTTTAAAAATATATAATTATTCACACTTTTCATAACAGATTTGATAGGTGGAAAATATTTTGTATTTAAGAATATAAGAAAAACAAAATTCCATTAAAATAAATAATTCATAAAACTTTTTGTACAAAAGAATTACTAAATTTTAATAAATTATTTTAGATATGATAATAAGTTTCTTTTTAAATACCAATAGAGATTTTTTTTTAAAGTTGCATTTGTCATTTTTATAAAAAGGTTAGTCGAAAAGTGCATTTTAGAAGTAAAATAAACTTTATTTTCTGTTTGAGAATATTAATTACATTATTTTGAAAATTTGAGATTGTTTTCCACACGTTACATCTTTATATATTGCATTTATTTTCAGAGATGCCACTTTATTTTTACATGATTCTGCTGATATAGTAATGAAACATTCGGTTTAAAAATAAAAATTTTTTAAATTTATACTTTTCATTTAATAATAATGATGATAATTAATGGATTAATTTTATTATTAAAATATTAAAAAAAAATTGTTTAGAAAACTTTTGTACGTCCTAGATGAGAAGAATGGCTTATCCATTATACTAACTAAACAAATTAACTTATGTTTTGTAATTATTTAGACATTAAAAATTCTATTATTAGATTTTGTTGTTATGATTTGGAACAATATGTGTATCGAATCTTTTAATATTTGTTAGATTTATATAACAGATATTATGCTAATCTACAGACAATTGTCTAGAACAGTGTTCTGCAACCTTTTTCTTCTTGTGGTACATCTATGACTCAACACTGCACACCAAAATGTTATTTTTCTCAAAAACATATGATACTATTAATAGGTTTGTGGCACTATGTAATTCTATTATTATTATTATTAAACAGACCAAACTGTGAGAAAATTTATTTTACATTTAATTTCTTAGAATATATAAAAATGCGTGGCTTGTAATAAAGAATAAACAAACATCATCTTATTTCATCAGTGCTGTGGCAGAGAATGAAATACAAGCATAAAAAACACAGCAACTGTGATAAAAATATATAAATAAAGCTTGAATTTAACAGAATATGTAAAAGTTTGTCACACCTTCACCTTTGTGACGGCACATCAGTGTGCTGCAGCACACTGGTTGCGGAACACTGGCCTAGAATGATAAAAGAAGCATTGTCAACATTTGAATAAGCAATTGAAAAATTTTTAAATATGAAATATTAATCTGTGTTTTGAAAAATATTTATTGTGGGATATCTGCAATCCAAATGGAATTTTTGCATTTTGAGCATAAATTTCTGAAAGGTTTCGTTTGATGGGGTAAGGCAATGCAACTTGTAGGCAATCTGCCAACGGAGGATATCTCCCGGGAGGACTTTCTATGAGAAACTGGCCTCTACTTAGGGGTTAGAAATTTGAAGAAAACTTCATGCGTGACCAATCCATTGGGCAGATGTGAACACGTGACCAACTACTGGTGTTCAGTGGTTTTATCCACTAAGCCACTGGTGGGGCATATTACAGAAAGACAATGCAAAATGTAAATTTGGGCTCCATTATATTTTCATTTCAAAGTTTCATATTTATCATAATAATCTTTTAAAGGAGCATATTCTGGGAGTATATTTGGTACTATAACACCCTTTATGACATAAAATATATTTTATGTCATATTATTTATTATTACTATTAAATTTCTATTTCATTATTTTCTATTTTAAATTCAAGAACTTCTGTAAATATATACAAGACATTAAGATGACAATTTTGGCACCTAGTAATGACATCCTGCTTTGCAAAATCTTAGATATTCTTTGATCTTATAATAAAAATTTCTTTGTTATTATGTTTNTTGCTTTTGTATGCCACGGGTAGACGATTTCGATTTTTCCATTTTAATTCTCGGCATTATATACAAAAGAGAAACGCGAAGAAATTAACGTTTAACAAATATATCGGTGCAAAAACAAACGTAAAGTGCCCTGGCAGAATCAATATTGGTATTTCGTAAGCCAGCGGCTATTTGAAGCTGCGGATGAAATTGTATTTTGTTTTATCGAATATTCCTTCCACTCGGATCTTTTGGATTATTCGGCTCCGTCACGCGTACGCGCCGTTATTTCCCGGTTTTAAGCGTTTATAAGTTAATTATTATTATTATTTTTTTTTCATAGATTATCAAAAATATATTGTAGAAATTTATGCGTAAGAGGAAACATTCTGTAAGGAAAGTACCCGTGTCTTCGGAGAAACTACCGACTGTGTTTTTCTTTTTCTGTTTTTTCCCCTTA